GAATGCGGGTTGAAGGTTAATGTCTTTTGGCTGCTTGTGTATGTACAGTATGTTTCTCTGTGCTTGATGAAGCAGGACAGCTCACTTCCTCGAGACATGTCCAATAAGGACAAACAGCCGTCTGAGAATCGCTGTAAGACCAATGACACCGGAGCGTTTCTTCCCCAAGACGCTTCCTGAATTAGAGAGCTTTGTGTCTGTTTTCTGAGGCAAATCTCCTAGTGGCTGATGCAGGAAAGCCTCCAGAGCAGCTCAGCCTTAATATCACTGAAAAGACCAAAGACTTAATTGAAACCCGCTTTTGTCTTCTGTCCTAAGACAAAATAATATGAGCATCGGAAAGAGAGCTGTGTATTTCTGCAAGCCAACATTAATGCTTTTATCACACCTCATGGGAAAGAAAAGGATGAGTTTGCTTGTTCATTGTAGATGAGTTTGTTTCTTCATCAGATTTGGAGAAATGTAGCATTGCATCACTTGCTCAGCAATGGATGCTCTGCAGTGAATGGGTGCCGTCAGAATGAGAGTCCAAACAGCTGATAAAAACATCACAATAATCCACAAGTAATGGAAGTAATGCACAATCTGTGTCTTTAAGACGTTTTTAACTTCAAACCGTTGCTTCCGGCTAAAATACAAGTCCATAATCCATAATAACGCTTCCTCCAGTGAAAAAGTGTTATTATGGATTATATATTTTGAAGCAATGGTTTGAAGTTAAAGCGTCTTAATGATGAATTTGTTTCTTACAAACACAGCTTTTGTCTTCACAAGACATTAACTGCTGGACTGGAGTGGTGTGGATTACTTGTGGATTATTGTGATGTTTTTATCAGCTGTTTAGACTCTCATTCTGACGGCACCCATTCACTGCAGAGCATCCATTTACATCTTGGATGGCCTGAGGATGAGTAAATTTTCAGTGAATTTTCATTTTTGGGTAAACTGTTCCCTTGTCTCAGACAGTTGATATCTGAAACATGAGAAGCCATGAGCTTTAAAAGAGCAAACTCTGAACAATTTAATGTTTATCTGGACCTGCACAAGTTATGATAAATGTGTCCATGCTTAGGCTGTGAGGATCTCGAGTCTATCTCCGTCTGTACGGTCTCATGTCATCATATCCGCCCCGTTTCAAGATTTTTCATAATATGCCGTAAGCAGACAGTTGAAGGGCATATGCAAAATCAATCTCCACCTGCTCGTCTGTGTCCTCGGCTCTGAGCAGATTCATGAATCACAGCATGTACTGTTTCTGACAGAAAGGGGTGTAGGATTTGTCTTTGTACATTGTGAAGAGTTGGAAAATTGGCACTGCCATGTGAATATACAACGCTGCGAATCCTCCAAAGAGGAATTTTAAATATATTTATTTGGTTTGGTTTTGGTACATGATTTGGTCTCTGTAAGTCTTGTTCATCCCACACTCTTAAAGGTTAAAAAATAAAGGTTCCAAAAAGGTTTGATTATTTATTTATTTTAGCGATGCCACAGAACCACCATTTTGGGTTCCTGAACCTTTCAGTGAACAGTCCTTTAAATAACCATATTTTTTTTAAATTTAAAGAACCTTCTGTGCAACAGAAACATAGAGTGCAATAAAGAACCTTTATTTTTAAGTGTGCAGAGGAACATTTTCCTCTCCCCATATGGCAAAAATATATTTTGAAATATATTTTTAAAACGTATTTTAACTATACAAAAAATGGCCAAAAAATATATATTTGCTACAATATGTTTCAAAAGATATGTAAAAATATTGTCTACCAAGATGTTTTTGTATATTTTTGAAAATATATTTAAAAAATAAAAGTATATTTCTTTAAACCATTTAAAAATATATGTTGCCTACCATATGTTTCAATCCAGAAAATACATTCATGTGTCAAATTTGAAGTTTTTTGTTTTTGTCTGTAACATGTGAACATATTTGAATAAAAATGAATAGATGAATAAAGCCTAGTTGTAGGCTACTGTAAGATTTGAAATGTATTCTTGCCCCTGAAATACATTTCGATATATATATATATATATATATATATATATATATATATATATAAATTTATTTATTTTTCTTTATTTATTTTTGCCATTTGAGCACAGCTCAGGACTCCAGTTTTATTGTAGAAACAACTTCAGATATTCCTCGTAAAAATCTTCTGAGAATTCGATGAAATGTGTTTCGAGTTCATACTGTGATGTTTTGATTGCAGACTTTAGTGTCTTGGCAAATCAGTCAGAGTTTGAGACATTGTTTGGATCTCTTCTGAAACTTTGTTTTCTGAAGTCAAAGTATAAGCAGGAATTCTCAGGAAAAAAGTCTGTATTTAATCTTATATTCTCTAAGAGAAACAGTTTTTCTTTCCTATTGAGACTGAATGAAAAGGATGTATTAGAAAAAAATAATTAACATTTAATAAAACATGCCTGAATGGGCAGTATGATCTTCGTGGCTATTATAAATCACACAAAATCTGTAAAATCTGATCTGCTGTGGTTGAGAGATGCGGTCGAGGCCAAAGGGGAAAACCGAGGGTCAGCAAAAACAAAGAAAGAGCGAGTTGGTATTCAGCAGCGTTTGTAAAAGATACAGCAAACGCCTTCAACATTACTCTAAATCCTTCACAAATAGGCCTCTTTTCCCTTTGAGTCGCCGCTGAGAGATTGATGACCGGGTCAGAGCTTTACTTTAGACCCAAGAGAACTGAAATATTGGCAGATTGCTGGTTTGGTGATTACGGTTTTTAAGATGTCAGTTTTTATGGTCAAAGACATGAGGAGCATCACCCACAACACTCGGAGGCTGAGATACAGCGTTTCCATAGCAACTGCCTCCGATGCGTCCGAGGCTGCAGTCACATGGCTGCGTGTAAATGCATTGAATATGGTATACTAACTCATTAATTCTATAAAATTAGTTCTATAAAATCAGTATTGCAGAAGCATACAGGTCTATCCCAGAGGTTTCTCTCAATAAAACTGAACGGGTACACAAGAAAAGTCTGTAAAGACTTGACCCAATGTACTGTATTCATTTTAAGGAATTTTCCATGTTTTTCAAAGGTGTTTACTTCTATTTTGAATCATGCACTGCATTGTGTTTTAGGGTTAAATGTCATGGCAGAAAATCACCAGATCCTTTTCCATTTTCTGTGGATTTTTACAGTGCACAGATATGAAGTTAAAACTATGGCCCATTTTGATGGTGACAGTTTCATTTATTATTCATGAAAGTATTATTTATGAAGTGAAACTGTGTTACTGGCACTTATATTACACACACCCTCAGGGTTGAGAACTTCAGACCTCTGGAACTGGATTTTAGGAGTCTACATCAGCGCCATCTTGGAAAGGTAAACGTTTGATGTTTATAATGTACAAAATGTAGTTTCTGCCATTTACATTACAATTCATTATATACTTTGGTTTTTGATGTTTGTTGCTGGTAAATTTTCATTATGCAATTTATAATTTCCATTTACAATTACTTTCTACAATTGAAATTACCCGTGCATTTTCCATTAAATTTATGGACATTTCCTTCAACCCTAAAACACAACTATGAAATGCGTTATTCAAAATGCTAACATTAAAAAATTGGGCTCTACAAATTTTAATTTAGTTTAATAATAATAATAATCATTATATATATATATATATATATGTTACAAAAGTTTACTTAAGTTTTTATTAACTATAAAATGGAAAATTTATTTATAAAATAAAATTACACATATTATGGATGCTGTTGGTTTTCTTGATTCATTTATGGACGCTGATAGTATGACTGCGAATCAAAATTTAAAATTGGGGAGCTTAATCATGTTGCACTCTGATAATATCATTCAGTACAAGAACATTTGACCAATTTTCTCTTTAATGGTATATAATCTGCATGAAGCCGAATTGTCTTATGTTGGGAACAGATGCTGTCTGTAGCGCGCCACATCTGTCAGTTCACTCACATTTGACCGTTGAACTTGCTAATAGTCGTCAATGCAGAATCGATATATTTATATCTGCGGTCTTACCGTCTGTTGAGCGACATGGATTACTTTGAATGCAGATGTAGTGGGTTTTCCTGTTCACCAGTGGCATTTCAAACACTGCTGAAGAACTGATAAACCTGTCTCAAAACATACTTTTATCTTATGTGTGCCGGTCACATCTAGAGCCTGTTAGCACATACTGTGAGCAGATCCATCATTGTTTTGAAACCAGCAACAAAGACCGTCATCCAGTTGCTCATGGCCATTCAAAATACTGAACAACTGGATCAGCCAATAACGTCTAATAAATCACTCCAAAATCATAAAGAAATTATAAATTATAGTATGTATGTATCTCCTATAAGTATTTTTTTTTTTGCAGAGGTACTTTGCCTTCATTGTTGATTAAAAAATCAGCGTGTAGAAAGTAATGTCAATGCAATTTCTTATTTTAAATTTGGGGTGACCTGGACATGTATTTGTGAAATTAACCTCATAACTTTCTCTGTTAACCCTGAATGTTCAATGATAAACCATTGTTCAATGCTGATAGAGAGTTGAAGAAGTCGCTTTCCTTAAAAACGCAAACAATGAGACCTTCAGTACAATTTCTCACTAAATATATTTACATGACATACAATTTGCCATCAGTGCAATACATAGGAATGTTGCATAAATACCAAATGTTAAACTTTTTTCTCTGTAAACAAAAATAAATGAGATGACGGCGATCGATGTGACTCTTCTGTAAAGCAACATTTACCGCGTTCATACCAGATAAAACAACTTCACAGAAACCATCCCGAAATAAACTCAAAACCGGCCCATTGACAATTAGAAATGATTCAGCAAAACTAGAAACATAATGTACATTATGTAGCACGTGTACATAGTATATACTGATTTCCATACAGATCATGGATTGCTTTTGTATGAACATTTTCATATAACTTTGGCAGTTTTTCTTTTTTTTTTTAGAATCAACATTTTTGAAAAAATAAAAAGATGATATCAAACAGTCAACAAATGTGATGTAAGCTTGCCTTTCAGAGCCCATGTTCACAGTGATAATTCAGAAAGGCTGAAAGCCTATGGTAAAAAAGGAAACGTAAAGCAACTAAACCTACAAAAAATAAACGAAAAGAACATCCCACCCCTCCTGCCTGGACCGGCAGCACTCGAGGTGGTTTCATTGTTGTCAACGACTATAAAATTACAAACACTTATGAAGAGATTCGTAGCAGTCATCGCCATTTTAAAAAAATGGTCTCTTTTTAAAGTCGACTCAAATACAAAACGTTGGAGGGGAGCGGGTCCGAGCTGATGCCCAGTCACTGCGAACACATGGGAGAGAGACGTCACCAAGAAAACGAGACATGCACCACCAGTGCTGTGTGTTAAAAACGCAAAAAAAACAAACAAAAACGGTGCGAGATTGAAGACAAACAAAACGGCTACACACTTAAAGAGAGGATGATATACACCGGACAAAAAGAATCGAGCAAATTTAGAAAGATACCAACTTCACCAATAATTCATATGCGTCTGTTTTTTTTTGTGTTTTTTTTTTTAACTCATCAGGTTTGGCACTTTATCTGAACAAATACGACATCTGTTCAAAAAGACTAATCGTCATACAAAACTGTCTCTTGAACATAACTTCGTAGAATATAATATTTGATAGAGAGCATACGGTAGGTAAACACTTTTGTACGTACTTGTAGTTTAAAATGAACATTCCAACAGATGTTTTACACACATGCACGAAAACAAACACAACCGTGCTTCTCTACGACACTTCCTCGGCCGACCGCGTGTCTGATTTGAGACGTACGAACTCTTTGGCCACTTCGTCGTTGGTCCTTTGCGTGAGTATTCTCATGATGGTCAGGCCAGTTTCGTCCATGTTTACGCTCTTGGCGAGTGGATAGCAGGCGTTCAAGCTGCCCTTCTCGGCCAGTTCTCTGAGCTGCAGGACCGTCATGCCGATGATCCGGTCCTCTCGGGCGAAGCAGTAGTCCTTCACGGAGATGTGAAGCTCGTAGGCCTCTGGGCCGTGTTCATTACTCAGCACGCTGGACGGAGAAGGCACAATAACACCACTTAAGTTAGTTCACATCAAATTTGACTTTTTGATGACGTATTAAACCAACATTCCTGGTTTAAAACAGATTATATTTCAACTAATCCTTCGGTTTGTAAAAACAAACAAAACGACACATAATGCACTCTATGGGGTAAGATATTAAACTGAAATAAACATTAAAATATAAACTTTTTTTCTTATGTAGGACTTAAACATTATACATATATAAGTATGTATAATCACTTGTTACTTTAGTTAAATACATTAGTTAAAGGGGTCATATGACGTTGCTAAAAAAGAACATAATTTTGTGTATTTGGTGTAATGAAATGTGTTTATGCGGTTTAAGGTTCAAAAACACATTATTTTCCACATACTGTACATCGGAAATGTTACGCCCCTTACCATACTGTGATGCCGTGTGCGGGCGCAATGAGACAAAACCAATAAAACCCATTATAAACTAGGCATTTGTTGCATCCAGTGGGGACATAATTACTGATTATAATGACTTATACTGTTTTTTTACGTGTTGCGTTGCATCGCGCCGCGTAAACATAAAACCATGTCTGCATTTGTGATCGGAGAAATGACAAACAACAAGCGCTACTCTACACTGCTCAAAACTAGCGTTTGAATCGTCAGTGGCAAATTCTTTCAATATGAAAACGTATTTACAGGCTGAGTCAGCATTATTTGGGGAAGTCGTGGCCTAATGTTTAGAGAGTCGGACTCGTAACCCAAAGGTTGCGGGTTCGCGTCTCGTACAGGCAGGGATTGTAGGTGGGGGGAGTGAATGTACAGCGCTCTCTCCCACCTTCAATACCACGACTGAGGTGCCCTTGAGCAAGGCAC